CCCCTCGGCGGGAGCGCCTCCGCGCTTCCCAAGCGGCGCACTAGCGCAGTGCGCCACCGGGCCGGCCCAGGGGAATCTTTATTTCTAAGTAGATAAAAAAATTTCATTTTATTCGCTGAGATACTGTAATGAAGTATGAGTTGCCACCAAATGGAAACACTTATTCAAAAGTGTAAATAACTTGAATTCATTGTAAGGGAGAGTGGAATTCCATGGTGACGGGACAGAGGAAAGCACTGGGGGCCCCCAGTTGTGTTGATGGAGTTGTATATATCCCCCCTTTTATTTTTTCTTATAGTACTTACCCCACCCCCTGGGTAGTATATGCATTTATTGAATTATTTATCTTCTGTCTCCACCCCATTAAAAAGCCAGCTCCATGGGAGAAGGGACATTGCTTTGTTTACAGCTGTATTCTCTGACTCTCTAAAACCATGAATTTCATGTTTGAACAGTATTTAAAGAGGCTTTAGGTGGAAAGAACAATGACAGGTAAGGTATCCAAATGAGCTTTTGCCTGGTTTCTGGCCTCCTCCATTAAGCCAGAAATACTATTTTGTATTTCTTTAATTTATATAAATGGCATGTGCTACACATAATATTCTACCTCCTATCTTTTTCACTTGATAGTGTATTTTTGAAATTTACCTTTTCTTAAAAAAAAATATGTAGTTCTAGTTCAGCGGTTTCCACGAGGGGGTGATTTTATCCTTCAGGGGATATTTGGCAATGCCTGGACACATTTTTGATTGGTATCTAGTGGATAGAGGCCAGGTTTACTGTTAAACATCCTACGATGCACAGGGTATCATCACAACATAGGCCTGATGGTGCTGAGGTTGTGAAACCCTCGACTATTTCTTTCCTTTATTCTGAGATATAATATTTCTTTGATAGCGTATACTATATTTCTTTTATCCATTCCCCTATGGACATTTAGGTGGTCCCAATTCTCTGCCATGACAAAAAGTGCTGCAAAGATGTTCTTCACCAGTGTCTCTGTGTGTGCAAGAGTTTCTGATAGCTGCCCTCTCTGTTCTAAAACACACTTCCAGCTGCTGCTCTAGAGTGGCTAGACCCGCTGGCTACCACAGCACCACCTGGGATTCCAATTCCATGCATCTTTACCAGCACTTGGTATTATTTAACTTTTTAATATTTGCCAAATTGAAAAGTTCAAAATATTAGTTCATTTTGAACAATTTTGCAATTCCCAATTAACAGTAAGGCCAGACAGGAAATTAGTAACAATTTTGCATTTCCTGATTATTAGTAAGGCCAAAGTATTCTATAAAATCAGTAAAATACTTTTTTTCCAGGACTGTGGCACTTTATTTTGTTAATTCTGCATATTTGGTATATAATAGTATAAAACTGTTTATTTTGTGAGATCAAACTTGACTGTTTCTGCCAGTAGAGGTCACTATCCCTCCATAGTTCTCCACCAGTTTTTTTTTTTTTTTTTTTTGACATTTGTACCCCAGGGATATTTGGCAATGTCTGGAGACATGGTTGATTGTCCCAGCTGTGGGTGCGCTACAGGCACCCATTGGTCAGAGGCGAGGGAAGCTGCTAAAACCCCACAATGCTCAGGATAACATCCAAGAACAAAGACTGATCGGCCCCAAATGTCAATAGTGCCAATTTGGAGAAACCATGGTGTAGAGTCTTGCCCATGACAATAAAGCTGCCTGTTATTATTATTATTATTATTATTTAAATGATACTAAATAATAATGCTTATGTGAACATTTTAATATTTCTTAAACATTAAGTAAAATGTTAACAGAAATAAAACGTTAAATAGTTTGGTAATCGGTATTAATGAATGACACCTCGTCACGACTGATGATCACTTATCAGACGTGCCACCGCACACCTGGGCCAGCTGGGGAGCCGCGCGCCTCGCTCAGTCCGCTCCCGGGGAAGAGGCAGGAGGCTCCGCGGGGGCGGGGAAGCAGGGTCTGGGGGTGGCTGAAGCCCTGGGAGGTGACCTGCTAGTGTCAGCGACAGGGTAGGTGGGGCAGGGGTCAGGGGTCAGGAGGCAGCTCCCGCGGAGGCAGCGAGGCCACCGCCCCTCCTCGCAGTTCAGTAGCCCCGGCCTGGGCACGCGGGAGGGGACCGCTCGGCAGCCTGGGACCCCGTGCCATCCGGAGGACAAGGGAAGCTCAAGCCCCTGTCCTTCCCACTGCTGGCCCCAGGCCCTTGGCTCAGGCACGAGGGCCTAGCACCTGCCTCTGCTTTTGTAGCTGACAGTTAAAGGGAGAAAATGCGAGAATTTCGGCCTGGTCCAGAAAACCGCAGATAGCCATTGACAGAAGGTGCTCTCTCTCATCACTGTGAGAACGACCATAACACAGAAAATCGAGTAACTGATTCACTCCCATAAGTAACGGCGATGCATGTATCCTTCTTCTACGATGGATGGTAATGTCACTTTCTGCAATTTAGCTCTTAAGTAAATGGCGAAAGCCGCCTAGGATTTGCGTTTTAGCCCTGAAAGCGCTGAGTTCATATGGACTCTCCTGTAATTTTCACCAATCATACGTCCCTGTCTTCTTTCTGAACGCTAATCCCATTTCTCTCCTTTCATTTCCACTGGTAATCTTGGAGTAAAATGAGGCATTTTCCTCTAAGATTTGAAAAGATCTAACTTCAAAACCAGTGTCGAAAGTCTGCTGGGTAATTGACTGTAGTGCTTAAGTTAGAAAATCTGTTCAAGTTGGTGTGAAACAACCTCTTCCTGAAGTCATTTCCCTCAAAAGCACGTGCAGAAGGAAGCTGTGGAGCCCATGGGAAAGCTGCAGTGCGGGGGAGACAGTCGAAGCCGGCAACGAGTTCAGGATCAGGCAACAGATTTGGCTCAAATCTCAGACAGATGGCCCAATGATGATAACACTTAATAGAGCTTAATGAGGAAGCACCAAAACGTTTCTGAGGTCAGAGGGGGCCGAGCGTTTTGGGATGCGGGGTGGGTGACCCAGGGGGTGCAGGGAATGAGATCCCTAACACTCTCCATTCACTCATGAGTTCTTTTTTGGCTGATCCCTTATTTAAGGAATGATCCCCAGGTATACGACTTTGAAAACACGGAGATATTCCTATGCTATAATTTTCTTCTGAAGAGAGTTTTCACAATGATAGAAATAACTTTTCTAAGATATCTCTCAAGATAGCGATGGCATCAGAGTGGACAGTCTAAACCCACTGGGTATGGACTCTTACAATGTATTTTTCTTTCCGATGTCTACAGAATTTCCCATGTCTTTTTTTAATATAACCCAGGGTGTCATATCTCAAGTTTGTGGCTAAAGACCCTCTGACAATGCCATTTCTCTCTCTCCACTTTTACTGGTAATCCATGTATACAGAGTAGAGTGAGTCCCATTTCAAGTTTGCAGTTGAAGAGCATGCACAAAACCGTTCGAATGCTGTTGGTGATCTGATTAGCATTTAGGTTTGAAGGTCTGTTCAAGATGATGTAAAAGTAACTGTTCTTGGGAACTTTTACCTCAGAAGTACATGCAGAAGGCTGCTATGGGGCTGTCTTCAATGTTGGGTGAGGGAGGGTCAGAAGTAGAGGCAGACAGCAAGATCTGACCTCCCTTCCAAGTACTAACCAGGCCCAAACCTGCTTAGCTTCCAAGATCAGATGAAATCTGGCGCATTCGGGGTGGTATGGCCATAGAAGATCAGCAAGTATCGAATCCAGAGTCGGTGAGAGATTCTGCGTGGATCTGAAGGTGGAAGGCTAAATGGGCAGGGCACTAAAAAGAGCTTGATGAGGAAACACCAAAGAATTCTTTGGTTCAGAGATGGGCCAAGTGTTGGGGAAGTCGGGGCTGTCAGCCAACAGGTGATGGAGAATGAGACTACTGACTAAACCCCTCCCCCCCTTTTGGGCAGATTTCATACTTAAGGAATAATCCCCAAGTATATGATTTTGAAACAAAGGAAATTTCCTATATAGTTTTCTTCTAAGACATTTCTTCATAATGGTAGATATGACTTTTTAAATTATAGCCAAGATGCCAAGATGGTAATAGTATCAGAGTGAACAGTCTAATGCCATTTGGGATGATATTCTTATAATGTATTTTTTCTTTCCATTGTCTGCAGAATTTCCCATGTCTTGCTTTGCAATGTAACCCAGAGGGTGTCATTCTGGTTTGTGGTTACAGACCCTTTGAAAAATCACACCCTTCCTGCTGTCGAGGTACAGTCAGCCATAAGGTAATTGCTCTTAAATATGTCTTCTGCTGGTCAGTCACCTTGTTAATTAATTCAGCTGTTTTCAGAGATGTTAAAGAGTTTTCTCTCTGCTCCACAAGATTGACTTATTTATTAAGATGGCAGAGATTTCATTTGTTAGAGATTAGTATGGATCAATGGTTTTCATTCAAGGGCAATTTTGCCTTCAAGGAGACATTTGGCAATATCTGGAGACATCGGCCAATGTCTGGAGACATTTTTGTTGTCATGACTGGGTGTGGTGGTTGTGGTGGTGTCACCAGCATCGACTAGGCAAAAGCTAAGGATGTTGCTAAACATTTGCACAGGACAGTACACCATGGCAAAGAATTATTTGACCCCAAATGTCAGTCATGCTGTGGTTGAGAAACCCTGGTTTAAATATTAGCTAGGAATGTTTAGTATTGTCTGCTTCTGGCAAGAACACCTTGTATGGCACTATTATGTGGTGGTTTGATACCACACGGACTCTGGAGTCAGAACGCCTACATTTTTAATTCTGGCTTTTCCTCTTGGTAACTGTTTGTCTACAAGCAAGTTACTTACTCTCTTTTTGCCTTTCTCTTATCATCTGTAAAATGTGAATAATTCTGGTACCCCTCTCTCAGAGTTGCTGAGAAGATTAATTGAGTTAATAAATGTAAGGAGTTTTGACGGACAGGTCATATCTTTGACTTTTATTTTAAGACCAAGAAAAATATTCACATTTCTTGGGTCTCTAAGGACTTACCTTTTTCAGTCAATGTGCAGAATTTACCTTTAAAAGATATTTTTTTAAAAAACAGGTAAAATTATGACCCATACAAATTAAAAATGAATACTATCAAAGATTTTATTATCTCATTAATTAATGAGGGAACTAGTAAGATATTAAAACTGCTTCAAAGGAGACTTGAAGGAAGCACACATATGTAGGAAATGAGAAAAGGAAAAATGCATTCACAGAAAGATGTGTCAATCTATAATCAGGTAGTAATCGGTCATGTTCCATCAGACACAATTTATTTGATTTTCTATGGACAAGAGTCATTTACATTATGTCAGTTTTCTAGAACTTATGGATTTGCAAAATATCTCAAGAAAGGTGGAAATTGCCCAAAAAGGTGCACTAGGTGGGCCACTCAATAAAAAGTACAGTAATATATTTTGTCCATTTCCACTCTTTCACAGTCTTTTCTGATAGTTGCCCCTTTCCCCTTCTTGTGATCATAACAGACTTTCAAAAATGAAACTTCCAAGGAGCAGAAGGATGTAATTTGTTTTCAATTAACGTGCACTTCAGGTGTGTCAGCACTTCCAATACCACATGTGATTGCTGTTGGGGAAAGGTATATTGGAAGAACAAGATCAGGAAATAAATTATTTTCCCCCCAAGAAAGAACAGAACAAAATAACTCTCCTCAAAAAAGATTTGCAAGTTACTGAAATGCATATTATTCTCTTTACCACGAATAAATACCTGGTGAAAGAATTAATTTACTCTCTGTAAAATATTAACACTTAAGATAATGAGTGTATAATCAAATGCCAAAGGTTTTTGTGAACAATAATTTATTTCCTTTGCTAAAGCAAAGGCACCAAGGATCTATACCAGTGGGAAATGGTTTAATCTGCTCTAACAAGAAGGTTTGAACTAAATTCTTTCTGTACTTTTGCCACTAAGAATACTGTTAAGACTCACCTCTTAGGGTGGAAGAATTAGAAATATCATATTTCATTTGAAAAGAGATCTTATTCAAGCCTTATGATCTGGGAGGGCTGCAAGAAAAACGAAGGCACTGTGGTTAAGCCAGGCTTCAGTTGATGTGAGGAGGAAGAGTGAATGCTTAGGATAAAGGTTGGGGAAGCAAATAAATACATTCACAGCAAAATGTCAGGAGAAGCTATTTAGGAGGTGAGGATGGCCAACAGAATGAGAATTTACATTAAGGAATGAGGAGGGTACATCAGGATTGGATGAAAGTAAAGGAAACAATAGCAGGAGGGAAGGATAGAGTGAACAACAGGAGATGGTACCTAGAGAGCAGGTAATAGGAATTTCAAGGCTGAAGAATCTATGTGGTTGGGCTAAATAATATTAGTCCTACCTAATATTTGCATAACACTTTCTGGTTCATAAGGCATGTTCTTGTGCATCTGACATTTAGTATTACCAGCAATGATTTTTGAGTAATTATTATTATTCCTGGTTTATAAATGAGAGGCTCAGGGAGATTAATTGTTTTGCTATGGCCACCATGCTAGAAAGAAAAGGAATAAGGAGTTGAACCTAAGCATGCTGCCACCATATCCAATGATTTTTTTCTAGTAGAATCACCTCAACTATGGAATGAGGAGAGGGAATGACCAAGCAGTTCTAAGATGTCTGTTGTAGCTCTTTTATGAGGGCCTGGCCTAGTTCGAGGCTGATCTTGGGTGAAAGATATGCATGGTGATTGGGGATTCCAGTGGTAGAAGAGATTTAATCTGTACCTGAACTAGAACTTCCAATCAGCCTGAGAGATGATATAGTACATTCCCAGCCTGGAGTGAGAAAATAGCAAAGGGTTAACCAACCAGTAGATAGAATGAGAACGCAGAGCAACTTTTCATTTTTCTCTGAGTTGTATCTTAGCAGTCAGGTTCATCATTCTGTGGGAAAGTTATGTTCCCAGATTATCAATACTAGGTTATGAAAAAAAGAAAACATTCTCTAGTTTGATAAAAATTACACTTAAATTATCCCTTGTTGTAGATTATTATCTGGCTGGAATTCTCTTTCACATCCTTGAATAATCATGCCTCAGCATAGATTTTAATTTGCTAAAAGATGTCTTCCCAGATAGCCTGGAAAGAATCAGATAGCCGGTCTGCAGAGGTTCTCAAGCCAGAACCATCAGGCTCTGGGCCTGGGCTGCCTAACTGTAGTCACCAGCCACATGTGGCTATCAGGCACTGGAAATGTGGTTAGTCCAAAATGAGGCATGTTCTAAGTGTAAAATACACACCAAAATTCAAAGACAGTAAAAAATAAAATGTAAACCAAATGAATATTGATTGCATGGTGAAATTATATTTACTTGGATGTATTAGACAAAAAATATATTGCCTGTTTCTTCTTTTTTTTTTTTTTTTTTT